CTCTCTCTCTCTCTCTCTCTCTCTCTCTCTCTCTCTCTCTCTCTCTCTCTCTCTCTCTCTCTCTCTCTCTCTCCCCCCCCCTGTAACTGTTTTTCTCTCTCCTTTCCCACGCACGCCCTTTTTCTCTTTCTTGATCATCTGAATCTTGGACCCGTTTCGCGCTATCCTTCACACCCTTCTTCTTCCCACTCTAAATCATGCGCTCGAAAACCTGGCCGATCCTCTCTTTACCCCATCTAGCCCAGGAGAAACGCCGTGTAAGAAGAGATCCCTACTACGCGACGATTCTGATTGGCTGAGATCGGACTGTGAGGGATCAACATGGCTTTCGATGGGCGATTACCCTCAAGCCCTCCCTCGCCCTCCTCTACCCCATTCTTCATCTTTCCTCACATTTATCTCCCTCACAACTATAATTCCGCAAGCGTGTCCGCAAATCTCTCTCTCAACTCGTCAGCCAGTTTCCGGGAAGCAGTGGCTAGATGGTGTGTGTGCAATGCAAATCGAAAAGTCCCAACGGGCTGACTGTAGACTGGCTGGCTGTGCGCCTGATCGCCACAACAGACTGTGGGATCGGGGCAAGCCCGTGCAGAAACTAAGTCGGCGGGGTGACGATCGCGGTGGTGGAAAGTGGCACACGACGGCCGGGATCATTGGTGCATGTATGAGGATAGTAATCAGAGTTGGATGGATAAATGGCCCGGGGCCATGATGGAACTTTACGGCGGATACGCCTCCTTGTCTCGAATTTATTCTTTGGTGTGAGTGCAGCTTCACTGCAGTTAAGCCGGGAATTCTTTTCATCTTCGGACTTCTGCATGATTTTTATATATTTTATTGTTTTCATCCATTTCGCACTTCTTCTCCCCACCTACCTTATGACATGAATGACTATGTATACTTGTCATAAAATGGTTGTCTGATGGGCTAGCGTTTTGATTAGCCATGGGATGACGGGGCAGGGATGCACGGCACACAGAGAACTGAATGATGCATGGCTTCCATTTTCGCACCTTCCGTGATGAGTAACCACGAGTATAGATGGAAACACTTGGATGAGGAGATTGTCGTTGATGGACTAGTCTTTTATTAGGCCGAAGAGTTGTTGCGAATGGAATGTACGAGAATGGTCGAGCCATTGGCAAGGGCAATGTTGTTGGGATTTTGTTCGAGAATGCAAGGGTGTTTAGATCTATCGATGATGTGATTGCGGGAGAATACCCCGGGATCTTCAATCCGAAATAAACTGCGCATGCCATCTGCAGCTTGCCCTCGATACGCAAAACCCGAAAGGCGATCTATCTTCTCAGAAAGAAGAAGGGCGTTAGTGCGACCTGCATGCGTTGATCACTTGCCGCGTCCCACCGGATATGAGTATTGTCCCCACGGTTTCTTTATGAAAACTTCTTGG